GATACTTATTAAAAATGCATTTATCTTTTTTTTAAAAAGCAGGCATCTTACAGAGCACCTACTATGTGCAAGGTACTATGCCACAGCACAATCCACCCTCCCCCACTTAAGCCAGATACTTAACCCCAGAAAATTGAGCTGTGGGCAGGACCAGCCTCTCCCAGGTCCAGTGCTATTGCTCCACCTAGATATACCTTGGAATACAGAGTGACACCAGCCTGGTAGAAAGTGGGGGGTCCTGCTAAACATCTTTCAAAGCATAAGACAGGCTCCCCAATCCCAACACACAAAATAAAGATTACTTGGCCCACTCTGTCAATAGTGCCAAAGTTGAAAATCATGCTTTAAATGGAAAAAGAAGCAAAGTAGCAATAGAAGACATGCGGAGAAGCTAAGGTGATAGAGTCAATGGATATAAGGAGGAGCACAGGGACGTGACATTGAACCCAGAGTACTGACAGGGTCATGTCATTAGCAGATGTGTAGCTGGTAAGGGTGTGTGCATCCAAGATGTCAGGACAATGAAGCCAGAAAAAAAAAAAATGCTGGGCTCCACCTCCACCCCAAGAATCAGCTTTTTAATAAATGCCCCAGGAGATGCAGATGTGAAGGGCAGTGGACCTTCCTTGGGAAAATGCTCAGTTAGGGAAGGAGGGGAAGTGGGATCTGTCAGTCTATAGCGTGAGAAAATCAGGTTCAAATCCAAACTCCACTACTTACTTAACAGTGACCCTGAGTGGGTCCTGCCTCTCTGAACTTCAGTTTCTTCATCTCAGAAAGGGCATGATGTCCCCTTACCTTGCTGTGTTTAGGTGAAGTTCAGACACACAAGGGTCTGGCAGAGTGGACATTCACCCAAAGGTGACTAATGTTATCAAAGAAACCAATTCCTTGTTTCACTAAGACTAATCCACAGACATCGAGAGATGTTAGGCCCCTTGCTCAGACAGGGGTGACAAAAGCTCAGAGATCTTTCAAAGACAAGCATCAAATCCCACAGATAGCAATAAGACCAGGTCTCTCAAGGGGACTCTGTTTCTTCTAAGTGCTGTTTCCCAGGGGCCATGGGCTTTTGCAAGCATACCCTATGTATATATATGGTTTGGTGACGTATGAGTGAGAATCCTCCAGCCCCAGCCCCTAAGAGTGAGCTTGTGGGGCTTCCTTTGCTTCCAGCAGTGCAAGATGACAGGGTAATCAGATGGGCCATCCCATGGCCCCAGACCCAGCCCAGCCTCTCCATTGCTGGTCTCCTGATCCAAGGCTCTCCATAACCCTAGCTTTACCTCCTCGCCTCCCCCAACTGCTCAGATATCCATTGGATGGGAAAAAATATATATATGTAACAAAGCCTCATCCAATAGATTTTTTTCCTCCATTATTAATTATATCTTTGGAGAGAAAAAAGGGAAGTCACAGGTTGGGGATGTGGCCAAAGCGGTGGCACGCTCGCCTGGCATGCGTGCGGCCCGGGTTCGATCCTCAGCACCACATACAAAGATGTTGTGTCCGCCAAAAACTAAAAAATAAATATTAAAAATTCTCTCTCTCTCTAAAAAAAAAAAAAAAGGAAGTCACCTTGGAACACTCTAAAGGAAAACATTATCCTTAGTCAAGGACAGAAAAAAACTCACAGCTGAATCACACAAGAGTTTGGCTATTAATGGTTCATCTAAGGCAATTTTTATCCAAAGGGCCTCACTGGAGAGCTCCTTATAGCCAAGAATGAAGCTGTCTGACTCTTTCTGACCGTTCTCCCTACCTGCTTTCCACATGGCTAGATTATCCAAAGAGTAAGCTACTCCAAGGCACCTGTCCCTAGTATTATTGACAGAGTGTCTGTGGGAGGGAAGGCACTCATGCTGGAGGGACCACAAGCCCACGGAAATAGAGATGGGCTGGGAAGCCCATCCTACTGATGGGGAGGCACTTAAACCCAGGCCTCCCATGCATTTCCACCTTCTGGTCCTATGCCCCTAACAGATGTTTGGCTGACTGTTATGATAGAGCACTCACTTCCGCTTCAGGGTTGCCAGGTCTATCTCTGAAGGGCTACTTAGAAAGTTCCTCTCCCTCCTGAGTCCAGCTCTTCACACCCATTTCTGTCCCATCTCCTGCAGCCCCTCCTCACTTATTCCACTTATTTGACAAGCAATTTTTGGCTGTACCGTCAATGGGTGTCCATCCCTGTTACAGGCACTGGGCACACACTGGTGAGCAGAGCAACAGCATCATTGCTCCCAGTCCCCAAGCCTCTCCCCCAGGTCTTCATGCATGAGGTCCCACTGTAGCAATGGGCTCTCTGAACTTCCAATTCTAACTCCCCTGGGGGAAGCCAAGCAAAGAACTCTGGTCTAGATATTTTTGCATCTCTTATCAGTTCTATCCCTTTTGGGGAGGAAAGGGGACTATGTGTTAATTCCATCTCCCAGACAAAATCTCTTGAGTAGCCTGAGCAGGCTTCTCTTTCAAACCTTCCTTAATACCTGCTGATATTTTTGGTTGAGCCATGTCTCTCATCTGGCTGCAAACACCATCCCCTACTGGCAATTATTTAAATCAAAGCTGAGTTCTTCCTGGCTCAGCCCACATCCACTCAGACCCTTGCAGCCCTGAGGTAGAGGCAAGATTTGGCTAGGCTGGTGGCTAGAACCTAAATCCTCACCTCTGTGCCCCAGAAATCTCTCACATCTGGACCGTTCCTGGCCACATGCTGGGGTGGGGTATGTTCTGACTACAGCAGCATCATGAGTCCCCAACCCCAGGATTGTTCCACATTTTTTTCTCTTCTTAGCATCCAGTACAGAATGCCAAGGAGGAGCAAGAGAAGCCTTTTCTTGTAGATAAGGGCAAAGGAGCAAAGGGATATGGGATTGGACATTCTAAAAGTCCACTTCTCCCCTGTCCCTTGAGCTTGATTAGTAGCTCTCTACTGAGGGCCGCACCCACAGGGAAATCCTTAGTCTACATGTGACCCAAAGGCCTCTGGCCTACACTTAGACTCTTTCTCATTCTCTCTCTCATTTTTAAGACAGAGAAACAAATACTTCGATGTACTTTTGCAGCATAGAAAAGATAGAAACTTCACTCCATGTGTGTTGACCACATACTCTGGTTCTTAAGGGAGGAAAGAAAAAGAAGAGAAAGAAAAAAAGAGCACATTAAAAAGAGTCAAATAATACAAAGCCATTTGAGGAGGGCAGTGGGAGGATAAAGAAGGAAAAAAATCACAAATCCTGACTCCAAGAGTCAGAATACCTGCAGAATGAACGAAATGAATGTTGAAATGTTCTCATCCTAAATGCAAGACAGTAAGAGCCCAGAGGGATAAAGGGATTTCTCACCCAATATCCCACAGCTAGTAGGGCAGGAGGAAGAACTAGAGCCCAGATCTCCCAGTATGTGCTCTGAGGGGTGCCAGCTTTGCTCCCTCGGCAGTTGGGGTTGGAGTTCCTTAAGACCTGAGTCTGGTGTCTGAATCCTGCCAAGGAAATGGGTGTGCCCTGATGACTTATTTAGAAACAACCACCACTGGGTTTTGTACCCCAACTCCCTAGTCAGGTGCCCCTGATAAGAGGCCTGGTGAGAAAACCCCACCTCTAGTTGCTGCTCTGTCTCCTACTTGCTATGTGATAGGGTACAAGTACCTCCTCCTTTCTGGGCCCCAGAACCCTGTGCAAGGCATGCCCAGTGCCTGCACCAGGGAGTCAGGAATAGTTTTACTGTGTCCTCACAGCAATCCTCACCCCAAATGCCATGCCATAGACTCTCAATACATTTTGAATAACCAGTGTCCTGGCCACTATCTGGGAGGGCTTCCTAAGGAACAAGGTGTCTGTGGTTTCTGCAAGGGACCAAAGCAAAGTTATCAATCTGAATGAAGGCAGCTGGCACTGAGATTTCAACTTCACAGGATGGATATATATGAGACTGTTGGGAGAAGCAATTATTTTATCCAGAAACAGGACAGTGTGTTGCCTAGAGGATAGATAGGGTAGAAGGAAATCCCCTGGCCTTAACCTACAAGCATTATCCTCCAAGTTACAAGAAGGTTTAAGTCTTTGGGCACCAATGATCAGGGCTCCTGCTCTTTCCCCAAAAAAGCCACTGAAATTAGTAGCCGTGAGGATGAAGCTCTCTGGAGCACTGTGCTTTGGGGACAGCTGCCCAGCACCAGCAACAGAGACCCCAGGGTGCTCTGTCTCCCAAAGCTCTCTTCCCCAGAAGTCCCATTCAACCACTTCTTTCTGGACTTCCAACTAATACAGGTCAAGTCATGTAACCTTGTTTGTCCTACAAAGTACAAGGCTTGACTGCTCTCCAATATAGAATCATGCAGCCTCCCAGTCCAATCTGATCACCCTCCTCCCCATCCCCCTAAGTGGAAGTCTCCATTCTGGGTACTTCAATCTTGCACCTGCCTAGTGCCCCCTGAGGGAGTTACCACTCTATGTCACCAGGCAAGCATTACCTCCACTAGATGAGAGGTTCCAGAAGTTGTCCTCACCTCCCCAGGGGACCCCAACCTTCATGGAGTTTGGTTGGAGCAACTGCTCACCTCCTAAGGCTGTCTTCACAAACTTATCATGGATTCAAGACCACCATCCATAGTAGAAGATGCCTGAGCTTGAATTTGGGCCCAGGTTGGAAATCTGTCTCCACCACTGACTGGGGAAGATAGATTACCCTAACCTAGTTTCCTCCTCAGTAACGACCAGCCATGGCTAGCCCAGGCCTGTGCTCTGGACTTCATGTGATTTTCTTATTTCACTACCCTTTTGCCTGGTAGGAGTTGGCACTTTATCATTATTTCAATTTCACAGAAGATGAAGGAGTGGCCCAGGGAGGTTACTCGGCCAAAATCAACTGGCCATGGGATGCTGGAGACTCAAACCCATTTATTCCCCAGAAGGACCCAAGAACCTTGAAAGTGGGGAGGCAGCAGGACTATGTCTTGGCCCCTGCCATGCTCCCTCCTTCAGGTCTCGGCCCAGCTCTACCTTCCTTGGGTGCATTAGTATCCCAGACGCTCCACATCTGCACGAAGAAGAATGGTGTCCAGCATACGATGAAGGCCAGCACGATGATGAAGGTCATCTTGACCGTGCGGATCTTGGCTTTGGAGATGAGCTTGACACTGCTGACTCGTGCCAGGGCCGCGCGACCCTCACTACCCGCTGCTGAACCCTCGGGTCCCTGAGCCTGAGCTGCAGCTGCTGCAGCCGTCTTGAGCCTCAAGTTCTGCCAGATCTTGAAGCTGATGAGGCCGTAGCAAGCAGCGAGTACGATGACTGGCACGATGTAGACAGCGAGTGTGATCCACGTGACGTAGGCCTTGGGTCCCCAGGGCTGGATGAAGACCGCCCAGCAATCAAAGACGCCTTCAGCCACCTCGCGCAGCGAGAAGATGTGCACCTGCGGCGCGCTGGCCACTAGGCAGCCAAGCCAAGTGGCGAGCACCGCCAGGCGGTCGGTACGCCGGCGCAGCGACCGCAGCGGCTGACAGATGGCCAGGCAGCGGTCAAGCGACATGAGCAGCAGCAGGTAGGTGGAGGCGAACATCCCCACCACCTGCAGGTACTTGACTAGACGGCACAACAGGTCGGGCCCATAGAAACGGAAGGTGATATCCCACAGTAGCTGCGGCAGCACCTGGAACACAGCTACCACCAAGTCAGCAATACTCAGGTGTTTCATGAAGAAAAAGAGGCGTGAGTGCTTGTGGCGCGTGGTGCGCAGTGCCAGCAGCACGCACGCGTTGCCGCTCAATGCCAGGAAGAGAATGAGGCACAGCACTGCCACCTCCACGCGTGCCAGTGCCTCGTTGCGCCGCGGCGGTCCGGCAGTGCAGTTGCCTTCGGCCCCAGGAGGCGCGGCGCTCCCGTTGACCGCCTCGGCGCTCCAGTTGGCTGAGAAAGCGCCCTCCATGACCGTGGCCCTAGGTACGCCCGGCCTTGAGCCCTTAAGGCGTAGCGCTAAGGGGCGGGGCCAAAGCGCAATTCAAGAGCGCTGAGCGAAGCGCCTAGGGCTCCGCTCCTGGAGTCCGGCAGGGACTGTTCTGCTGGAATCCGACCCTGCAACAAACCAGCAGGACGGTGAGAGGACTGTCGCGTTAATTGTTCCCTTCCTGGGGATTCAAAATCACCTGAGACTCGGGGCACAACTGCCCGCCACAGGGTTGCCCAGCCGCCACCCCAGAAATCCCCGTTGATGTACCTTCTTTCAGCCACTGCAAATGAGCGGGAATCCTCTACCTGAGTGCCAGTTTCTTGAGAGGTTCAGCCTTTTCCACTGGTGGAGAGAGGAGGACTATAATCAATCACTTTCCTTGCTCCCTCCGGGACTGGGATATCCAATCCAGTCACCTCCCCCAGCGGTCTTCCCAAACACACTACACACCCAGGACCCTCAGCACAGCCACCTCCTGCGGGATCCCCAAATCAGCCCCTCTCCTATTAACCCGTAATCCATGTACTTCTCCCAGAGATCCCAAACAGCCACTTGCCTGGAAAGCCTCACTCAGGTCTATCCCCCTCCGATCTCCTGTTTCTAAAACGCTCAGCCATCACTGCCTGAACTTCAATAACGGCTGCCTGCCTAGAACTCTGGTCCAGCAGTCCCTCCCAGGGGGATTCCTGCCTAAAAATCTATCTCCCAGGATGCCCAATCGGTGTCAGTCAGAACTTTGACCTAGACACTTTCTGCGGACACCTAGACACTTTCCTCTTCAGCCCAGTAGCCTCGAAAGTTCAGGAGTCCAACAAGCGTCTTGGCCCCCTGACAATCAAGGGCTTCACGTCTTGGTCCCAAGCTGTCACTTTATACCCTCCTGCAGCACCCTGTGTGCCTCCAGGAACCAGAAGCGCAAAGCACCCCATTACCTCTTCTCAAACCCAGATGTCCACACTAGCCCTCGCCATCCCGTCCACCCGTGCTCAGGACCCAGCTACCTGCACTGAGTCCTCGGGTTGACCTAAAGTTGACTCCCCGGGGAAGTTGCACCGCTGCTGATGGACTCAAAGACGCGTGAGCTCCGGGACCAGGTTGGGAGGGCAGCTGAAGGCACCCAGTTTGTCACTCGCTGAGGTCTGGGATTCAGGAGCCTTGGTTGGAATACTCTCGCCCGCAGCTTTGCTGGTGGTTGGATAGGAACAGAAGGCAATCGAAGAGCGCCGCCAAGCCTATGCTCGAGGACAGCGTGGGGATGCCGCGCTGGGTGCGGGTGGCTGGCTTTTCTTCAGCTGGGGTCGGGGATGCGCTGCCACATGAATCCGCTAGGGGGCGGGGGAGGCCGGCTGCGCAGACCCCAGAGGATGGGGTTAGCTTGCTCCGTTAGCTCGCGGGCTGTTGGTCCCAAGAGTGGTAAGGAACCGGTTTATTTCGCAGTAGTTTAAAACCTCTAGAGGGATGGAACTCGTAAATAACCCGCCCGGTTTCTTCCTTTCTTGGTTTAGAAGCTCCTGATCCTTTCACTGAAATAGGAGGCTTGCATATGTTTTCCCCTGAGGAGACAATGATGAAGTTACAAAAGCATTTAACTGATATTTCTTGAATTGAGATTCATTTCAGTGCTTTCTTATTCTTCTTTTTTCCCAGGTAACTCATGTCCTTGCTTTGGAATACTTTTGTTCATATTCTCATTAAAAAGGAATTAGAAATACCTTCTATTCCAAGCATCACCAGAAGAGATCTTCATTCTTTAGATAGTTTTAGGTGGAAATCTTAAAAAAAAAAAAAAAAAAAAAAAAAAACTTTGTTAAAAGTGATTCTGCCCATCTGTGGACCAAAAGCAATTTCCTTCTCCTTACCATGAATGAATATCCTAAATGATGGTAAAAGAAGATGAAATATTAAAGACTGCTTCTCTGCCTCCTTGTGCCTTTTTTATTCCAAAACCATTTTGTGGAGTAATTTACAGTGACTGGAATTAAGGCAGGAGGGGGAAAAGCCAGAATCCAGAAATGAACAAGGCTCTTTGAAGTGAATTAAATGCATATTTCCTCTTGACATTTCATTTCTCCCTCTTTTAATTATGTGGAAAGAATTGGGTTAGCCAAGGACTGGGTTTCCTGAATCCACAATTATAGTCCTGTGCCAAGATATCCTAATGGCAGAGCCTTACAGGGCCATGATTCCAGGATAGGATTTGTAGGTTCTAGCAACATTGCCGAACAGTGGGCAGCAACAGTTACTTTTTTTTTTTTTTTTTGCCTTTGGGAATTGTGTCACAAATTATCAATAATATCTGTCATGCAAACCACAGGTTAAAGTTACAGGTTATTCAGGTGAGAATTAAATGACTTAAGTAAGTCCCTTCTCCCTGGGTCTTGGTTTCCCCATATGTGAAATGAGAGGGTTAGTCCTGATAACTAATGTCTGAGGTCCCATCTTTCTGATTTTCTAAATTTTTATGGCTTAGGCCATCTGAGAGTTTATCTGAAATACCCTTGCCTCATTCTGTGGGTGGATAAGGGGGATTCTCTCTAAGAACCATTGATTGGTAGCGTAGGAAGAAAAAAAACAGGCTTGTAGAACCCAGCTTGCCCTTATTTCTCCTGAAAGATAACAGCCTTCAAGGAGCAAATTAACTGAGCCACTTCTCAGCTCTTCTACCCCGTGACTGGTCTTGAGTGGTCTTTGTATGACCAGTGAGACCATCTAATTTGGATTAATTCAGAAGGACCATATGGCCTTGTGCAACAGCCAGGTTCTCTAATTTAGCTTTTATCCATTAAAAAAAAAAAGTGATAGTGAGCTCCTTAGTTCCTCTTTGATTTATCATTGTGAGCAAAATCCAGGTAGCTAAGATAGGTAGCTATGTACTGGGGAACTCCTTTGAGAGCCCCCAACAATAAACAAAACATGTCCCCAAACCCTTGAGCTCTAGCCACAGAGAAAACACTTACCTTTGGTGTGACAATGATAAATACTAATATTGAGAGAGGATGAAGTGCTGGAGAGTACTTGGAGGACAGTTTCTCAAAGAAGGCAGCTGTATTTTAAGGTGTTAGAACAAGTCCTCCAGGAAACACAGAAGAAAGGCAGAAACTGTGTAGTAGTCAGCTTTTTATCACTATGACCAAAATATCTGAAGTAAACAATTTAGAGGAGGAAGGATTTATTTTGGCTTATTGTATCAGTGGTTTCAGTCAATGGTTGGCTGGCTACATTGCTTTGGGCTTGAGATGAGGCTGAAGAACATCAGGTCAGAAGGATGTGGTGAAGGAAAGCTGCTCAGCTCATTAGAGAAGGGAGCAGAGAAAGAGGAAAAGGGAGCCAAGGACAAGACACAATCCCCAAGAGCATGCCCCAAGGACCCACTCCTTCAACTAGGTCCTGCCTCCACAACCTCCCAGTAATCCATTCAGCTACAAATGGATTAATCCACGATCAGGTCAGAACTCTCATGATTCCAGTCCTTCCCCAAAGCCCCACCTCTAAACATTGTTGCACTGGGGATCAAGTTTTTGACACATGAGTCTTTAGGGGACAGCTCATATCTAAACCATAAAATAGAGGTACAGGATATAGGTGTCATTTAGGGGGTAGGGACAAACAATTCCACATGGCTGGGATGAACTGTTCAGTGCCTATCATCAGCATTTCATAAATACTTAATCATTGCACAAGGGCCTCTGAGGCCATGTCAAAGAAGAATTAATTTTTTTCAGTAACTGGATGTCTCCCAAACGTGGGAAAGAATACATTCCCAGATGGTACCCAAGATGCAAATTTAGTATCTAGTGACATAATAAAGTGAAAAAAAATTAGTTCTTTCTCAGTCTATTTCACTCCTTTGGGTTTCATCAATGAGAAAGTCTGAGAACAATCATGAAGATGATGGAGCAGGGACAGCTGAGATTTGGGAGACAGGGGTGGGGAAGGTAGGTGCATGGAAGAACTGTAAGCAGAACAATATCTGCAGATCTGTGCTTTAGTAAGAGAACCCTGGAAGCCACTAGGAAGCTGGGGAAGGAGATACTAGCACAGAGACCCTTGAAGGTCCAGGCAAGAGATGCTGTACGTATGGACCAGGGTGTGACATTGGAGGACTTAGAGTATTCCAAAGAAAAAGAATCACTAGGATGTGTATATGTGGAGAAAGAGATTTAAATAATGAGTTGGCTGGTGCGTTATGCAGGCTAGAATGCCCATAATTTGCAAGGTGGACTGACAGCTCCTCTCTGGGAACCAATGTTGCAATTCAAGTCAGAAGGCCATCCAGGGCAGTGTTCCTTCTTGCCCAAGGAGGGTCATTCTTGTTCTGTTCAGGCATTAACTGATTGGATGAGACCCACCCTCATTATGACTGGCAATTTGCTTTCCTCAAAGTCCACTAAATGACATGTTAATCTCATCCAAAAACACACTCATAGAAACATTCAGAATAATGTTTGGCCACAAACTGTAGCCCAGTCAAGTTGACCCATGAACCATCACAGAGGGAGTCTCAGCAATCAGTATTTTTACACATTGTCCCATCTGTCTGAGTAGCAAACAGCCTGAAGGTAGAGTTGGTATTCTATAAACCTGTACTTTCAAAGGTCTAGGACACTGTAGAGTAGGTATCTTTCAGGTATTTATTAAATGTAAAAGGATGGAAGGTAGGAAAGAAAAGAGGGAGAGATAAATATTCCTCCTTGTGGTTCTGAGCAGGACTGGGCCCCTGGGGAAGATATCAGGCCCTGGAAATGACCTGTCCATTACCCACTCCTACCTCTGGGAAGTGGATTCTGAGTTTAGCACCATTTGAATTTTCCAGTTTGGGTACAGTTATTTAGACACAGATCCAAGTCCAGGTGGCCTTGCTCTGCAATCAGGATAGGAAATTAATCATAAACACCTCCAGTGTCCTGGAGTCTCAGCTTGAACCCCCAACTTGGGGTCCATAACATGCTCTGGCATCAAGACTAAAAACGCATTGCAGCAATGATCTTGCCACTGACAAACTGGCCTGCTTACATTTGCTGTTTCCATCCAGAGGCAGGAACATGAGGTCACATGGGCTGACCTGGGACATGCACGTGGCATTGTGTCTGCATGCCTGCTTACACTTAACAACTCTCACATTCTTCTTGGAGGTTGCATCATTTTGGGATCCTTCTCAGGCTGTGTCTTCATTCTTGTGCTCCTTGGAGGGTGGAGAAAGAGAGGAGAACATGCTTTCAAATTGGAAACAGCTCTGGACTTTTGCAGCAGAGAATCTGGGTTCTATGACCTCTGCCTGTGCAGCAGAGTGACTAAACCTCTCTGAG